CCAACACTGATTCTGGCGACTGAAACTTGGCTTACTACTGATATACCTGACACAAAGCTGATAATTGATAACTATAACATCCACAGGAATGACAGAGGCGGTTGTCTAATATATGCCTCTAAATCCACTGACTCCAATACCTTTACAAACCTAACTATCGACAAACTCCCAGAATCCAAGTGAATAATCATCCACGCGAATGAAAATAACATTCTTGTGGGATGTATATACAGAGCCCCTAACAGCCCTATAACAACTGATACGGTTATCGGAGAAATACTAGAGACTGTACCTAAGCTGGAATTCGACTACAAACTAGTTTGTGGCGATTTCAACCTCCCTGGAGTGAACTGGGATACCTGCACTGGACCGAGAACCTATGAGGTGATCCTAGAAGCCGTAGATTTGGCTATAGTTACGTAACTAGATAGGAGAAGATCAAGATTTTAAAATTTCGGTGCACATGAGGTCAGATGAGAAGTTGATGATGTAATACAATGAACAGAACTCAGAAGATGAAGAAAAATTATCTCATAAGAGAGTCAAACGAAAAATAATGTTAGGGGGTGGAATGAAAAGATAAGTTAACAAAATTTAGAAAATTAGAAAACAAAGAGTTACTAAGAAATGTGTCACCAGCGTAATTGAAGTCCAACAACAACGGATTCTTTTTGGACACATAAATCAGACTTCAATCGTTCTATCGCTATAGCTTCAGCAAACCTGAGAAGACTTGAGGTACTTTGTCTGTTAATATTATTTTGAATGATTCCAGGACATCTACTCGGTGTCCTGTGTCAATCAGGTGTTTGGCGATTGAAGAGCTTAAATAATTCGGTCCCTTTAACCGAAGGCTCCTTGTTACATGTTTGCAGAATCTGACGTAGGCCCTCCTCTCTGTTCTTCCAATGTAACTGCTCCCGCAGATACATGTGAATTGGTATACACAAGTTGGAGGTAACATGTGAGAGGTACTTGTCAATCTTTGACTGCACCAATGAAGAGGTATGTAATATGTAATTACATACTACCCATAGTGCCCAAGTTTTACACATATATTAATATCCTAAATAGGAAATCCTGAAAATTATTATTATGAAGTCAATGTGGGAAGGGAAGAACATTTCTATGACGAGGGTTTTATTGATTGTTTCCATTCATGTATAGCATGCACCTGTTCAATTATACACATAAGTAATAATAAAACGTGTACATTCAGAACTGCTGAACATCTCAAGAACAGTTCTTCATTTTACTATTATTTCATAAACATATATATATATATATGTCTTGTGTGCGATAAATATGACTCCACAGTTAAGGTAGATTTACGAATCACGTAATTGATGAGTACTCTCTTCCAGTAGACGATTTCGATAAAGCATCCATTCACGATAAATGCTTAACTTTGATTCTAATTCTTCAACTTTAGGAAAGGGTTGAACCTATTTTTAGTGTAAAATATTAAGAAAATAACAATAATTACATGGGTAAGTAGTTAAACAGTTTATCAGACATTTAGTAACAACATGGTCATTGAAAGAGGAAGAGAATGAAAAGTCTGGCTAACTAGCTGTACTTGATCTCAGATATCTGCGTTATGTCTCCTGTGTTAAGTGGTAACAAACAATAAGGTGAGTGATATTGGGGTTAGGCGTTGATGGATTGTAATGTAGGGAGGGAAAATCAATCGACGAGTCTATGAAGTTACACCGCCTGAGGCGATGGTTAGGACATGTGTTACGTATGCATCCCTAGTCATCGACTACCTTCCTCGATAAACAATATTAGCTGATATAGGATTAGTTAGGAAGAGAACGGATGGTGTTCAAGTCGAAACTTGGAATAAGTCTGTAAATTCTTTAACAGTTAGTTTGAGCCAGCCAGCCACTTAGAGAGGTTTAGACTTGCTGACTGGTCGGGATCCTCGGGAGATTAAACACCAGTGACTAGAGACAATTGGTGATATGGCTGAAAATGGTTCTCAGATGCATCCACTCTTTGGGATTTATGATATCCAATAAAATTCTACTGTTCTTCCACATTACTATTCTCTCAGCTTCGCTCACACTTCTGTTTATGATCTCTGTCATTTGAATCTCTCTTTACTCTCTTCTCTTGCTTTGTGTTTAACATGAAAGGAGTGTGGCAACTCGAGCTGCTGGAAATCTGTGCAAAGTTCTACATTAAAACCAGTCAGTCAGTCACACTACGTTTCCTAACCTGTTAAATATTTTCGCTTCCTGTATCTATAAATGAAGTAGAGAAGTCGATGGGGACCCTACTTCACGTATGATCCTTTTTACTACTAGCCGACTGAAATGAGTAGATGGATGCCAGTCACATCGATCAATAGTGTTTGCTGGCCAGATCAAAGCAATCCAAATACTGCACGACAGTTTCGCAAGTTCGGTTTCCAAATAAAGGAAACTGGGGTAAAATTTCATCTCCTCGTAGTGTGTAGATTGCAAACACCTACGCGATTTATTTTGTACACCTCATCAATACTGCTACTGACTTGACCAACGCTCAATTTCTAGTCACTTATGTTACGTCATCCAATGTATTTGGTCAGTCGTAGTCCTAACTTAAATGTCATCATTCTCCACCCCACCTCCACTCATTCTCTACCTGTAATTACCTCTGGTTCTATCCTAACCTGAGTTGAAGCATTTTAGTGAATTATATTACGTCATCTAATTTACTAGCTCAATCTTACTTTAGTTACTGTCTAATTAACCTTGTTTCTATATTGGACCATTCTTGTATTACTTGATTAATTATCTAAACTTGACAAATCTCATGTACACACACATACACAGAAAATAATTTTATGTGAATGAATTCACCGAAAAGAGTCTGGTCATTGAACGTCTTCTCTTTTTTATGAGACTCAATGGAGATTTTTAAGCTACTTTAACTGTGAATTTGATTTATGGTACTACCAGTTCGACCAAGTAGCTAACTAGCCAGCCAGAAATCGCTTGGTTTGAACTGATTCGTCTATTCCTCTGAGCTGAGTTGTCAAACCGGGTACACCGTTGATATGCTCAGCCGGAAAACGAGCGAAAAAGCCAGCCTAATGGTATTCAGATCACTTCAATATGGCTGGCCAACGAACACTTCTGGAAGATATTGTAACAACAGAAGGCAGGACATGGAAGCCAAGGTGTATTTTCAAGTGACCAAACCGATATTTATACATACACAGTTTATATTTGATGATATTAGATGGTTGGAGGCAATCGGAAAGAAGCTTCTGACCTAGGTTTCGTGCTAGTGGGCACTCAGCAGCAAAGCGTATCATCAAACTTGAAGGGACCCATGTCTTTTCTGAAATTCGAACCCGCGTCACCCAGTGCTGCAGTCACAGACGTTACCACTGAGCTGTTCGGTCTCGTGATTCACCTCCTCTAGGGATGTAGTGGATACTTTGACTGAACACTAGTAACTAATGTGTAAAGTGGCATAATAAGGTGAGCAACATGGAGGTTAGGCGTCGAGTGCTAGGTAAACAGGGGAAGTCAATCGACGAAGTCGTGAAGCTACAAAGACTGAGATGGTTAGGACATGTGTTACGTATGCCAAACCATCGCCTCCCTCGACGAGCTATGTTAGCGGATATAGGGTCAGGCTGGAAAAAAGCTAGCGGCGGTCAAACAAAAACTTGGCCGAACCAGTCAATGAAATCCACAACAGTTGGTCTAAGCCACGTAGGAAGGTATAGACTTCCAGGTTGAGGTCCTCGGGACAGCGAAAATCTATGGTTGGAAACAATTGGTGACATGGCTCAAAACCGTTCTCAGTGGCGCAGATGCATCCACTCCTTGTGACTTATGATTTCCTATGAAACTGTTTTGTTCTTCGTTATTACTCCTCCTTTGTCTCACACCTCTGCTCACTGTTTCTATTATGCTTTTCTTTTACTTTCTTCTCTTGCTTCGCGTGCTACACGGAGTGTGGCGACTTGAACTCCCTTACATTTGTGCAAAGTTCTATGTCGAAAACAGACAGACAACTAATGTGATGTGTTTAGTCATTTCTTTGCTGCAGACTGAATTCTATCAGTCATGTCTGCAATGTGGCCACCATTCTAGGTAGCTCACCATCACGGTGCACACATTGATTTGATGGCATTGGATAATTGGAGGCGCTATCGGCAGGAAGCCGTGGACTACTTAGGTTTCGTGCTAGTTGGCGCTCACCAGTCAATAAGGCGTGTCTGCAACTTTGAAGGCACACATGTCCTTTCTGGCTGCCTACCTAGAATGGTGACCACATTGCAAACCTGACTGATAGGAAGCAGTCTACACCAAACAAGGACTAGACACATCACACTAGGTACTAGTGTCCAATCAAAGTACAGTTTTGTATTCTCTAATCAATCATTGAGCGTGTGATTTGGGCGTAAAATAAACAATATGAAATAGAATGTTCAAATGCATATATAGTATTATGTTGCTAAAGCTGTATTGAACTGTGGGAATACGTGAGAATAATATTCCATTGGAACACACTGTCTAAATCTCGTCACCACAGTATGAGTAGTAGAGAACTACTCACCTCAGTCAATCAGTAGTATATAGTTTCGTGCAAACAACACATCCATTTGTCAAGTGATTGGGATTCATTATTTTCATCAATGAATATAAACCGTAAATCATTTAAAAAACAAGCAAAGGATAAAGTTGCTCTATAATCAACCGCTTCCATTTCACACACGTGTTGTGTGTGAAGATTAATGATACTGATTGGCGGTCCAAACCTCAGTGGAAGTCGACTGTGTAGATCAATAAAATACAATTTCATCCTTACTGCATCCTCCCTCCTTTCTTCCTCACCCCGTCTGCTCTGTGGGAGAAATACTCACCGAAGTCAACATAACTCACCTAGTATTGTATTGATAGGATTATTATGCTCACAGTTTTGTAATTTTTGTGAAATGTTCCGTCTAAATGCAGTTTTTTCTCCCCTTATTGTGTGTGTGTGTGTGTGTCAAGGCTAAATACCAGTCGAGGAAAGATGAAGCGAAAGAAGTCCTGCAAGCCTTAGAAGAATTAGCAATGAATTATGACCAAAAGGCTCAGGAGATTAATGCGAAAGCGAAAGAACTTGAAGAGACTCAGGAAACCTTGCTACTACAAACCAGTTTAATGCATGGTAAAGACTGTGAACTGTCACAGTTGAAGGATGCACATGAAAATCAGAAGAAGAAATATGCTGAAATGATGTCTAGCCTGTTGAAGGATCTAATTGATGTTGGTGAATGCTTGAATGATCGAATCACGGTAGGTTTAAAAGTATTTATGAATTTTGTTTTATTATTGAATGGGTTGTTATTCTAAGGATGTGAGCTCCCTGAGTAGGGAAGTAATCATGGCGCATACACTGCTTTGATAAGTTCACTATGGCGGGATGAGCGTACTATCGTCGCATAGAATCTGGCCTGTTTGCATAAGCCGTTGTTGCCACATTAAATTACATTAGTGGAGTAAATAATAAGAAGTAAGATGATGGGATGGATCATTACCTAGTGACGTCTGGGATCGCACTCAAATGAATGATAACGCAACGCACAAACTATCCTTCTACGGCGCCACATCATGGTCTGACCACTTCTCGTTTCGCTTTGAATCAGAAGACTGTCAGACAGTGAATGGTATGGAAGCTATCAAGACAGCATTTGTAGCACGTGCTGAAGCCATGGAAGGCGTCATCGCAAGATGATATCACTTTTGAGAGAAGGACTATGTCTACCGATTTGTTTGTTCTTCTATGCAAACATGTGTTGAAATTCAGTCAGTCAATTATCATAAAAACATCCATTCAGTTCCAGTATTATTTCATCCGAACTTGCTGCCTATTGTGTTATCAATGCGGTTTTAATCCGTAATTGGGCAAAATGGACATCCTACCTCAGTGATTATATTCGTGTTATCTTTTGTATTATCCAATCTTCGTGTTTATTAGATTTTGTAATTTTATTAATTTGATTCTTCACCGACCGGAAATAATTATGAGACTTTCTCACCCACACACGAATTTACGGCCGAGTTGATGACTTGATCGAAAAGAATATTTTCTCCTCTGTAACCGTCTTTTTGATTCTGTACAGGGGAGAAAACATGTTTATATTAGTGAGTGTAATGGAAGGAAAATGTAGTCAAGTTAGTTAGTTAGTTGGTCAGTACGTTCGACTACTGTCTCTTCTTATCAGGGAATATTTCTCGAAACTTTCTGAGACAGAAAGTGATTAACTGAGACGTACATGTATGTGGCTGGCAAAGAAAGTTCTCTATATAATTGACAGAGACTAATACATCCAACTTTCTGCAGTGTAAAGTTGTTTGTGGTACATAACGGAAGGTGACAGTGGCCTTACTGTGTTGCCTATTCTATTTCATTGACTTTCTGTTGAAAAAGGCGGTATTGCTTCAAATTCGAGTCCTGTCTCACCCATCCCTCAAAAAATAAGTTCAGCTCATGGTCTAGTGTTACTAGAATTGTGTAAATGGCTAGTCCATTTCTGTATGCATCACCCTTGTCATCATCAACCTTACATGATGTTGTGATACCTTCTGAAAGTGAATATTTTGTTTTAGGAAATCTGAAGATGGAGATATGAACCCCTGTGACATTGTATTACAGTCAAGAATATTTCGGCTGATCTGTTTTAACAGATGACATCGTTTTGTGTCAGCTAGATTGATAGTTGTTGAGTGAGGGTTTTGTCGACTACGTTTATTAGTTCACCGGTTAGGATTAAATGTCATGGGGCTAAATAGACTATTGGACCTCAATCCTCTGCGTTGGAACTGATTACTCTGAAATGACTAGTCAGTTTGGGAAACTTCATTTTCATCTCTGATTTGTTATTTCTACTCCGACTGTTGATTACAATTCCTCATGTTTTCTTTTTCCCTCCCTCTTTCTCCCTCCTTCGTTTTCTGTTGACGACGACATCAGAAACCATCCGTTGGTTCTGAACGATTAGATGAAGAGTTTACTGTTGTTCGTTTGTATATAAGTAAGTTGAAAACTGAGGCGAAATTACTGCACTCACGTGTACGTCACTCTAAACTAGTCTAACTCGGTTTGCAAGTGTATTATATATGCAGGGTGAAGTGGCTAACTGCACTAGTTCATCGACCGCCTTACTTATTAAGGGAATGCACAGTAGGCCGAGATTAGGAATCTTCACAAGTTTTCCAATACTTTCTATCTACCTGATGCCATCATCCCGAATCCAATGAAATCCCTGCAAACCAACACTCGGGTGTCAATCTGATGCTGACCAGCAACCAGCCTTATTCAGATAGGCAGTAATAGTTACCTGGATTCTAGTGGGAAGTCATGACCAGCGTGAAGTACAGCAGGTCGAGTATGAAGACTGGTGGTCGCACGATATCCTGAATGGGCAGAAGTTGGAATTCTTCACGGACAGGCCATCGGATCCGGACCCAGTAGCGATCTTAACTGTCTACCAGCTAGCTCGCCGTCTTGTAACCGGTGAGTCCTATGTTCCAACCACTGTGGTAGGTGCGTTCTGGTGGAGAGTTGCAAACTACAGAAAGAAACAGCTGTCCAGTACTTCTTTAAGCAATGTCATCTCATGATGAAATCACGTAACCAAACAATCAAATCAAATCCTCGTAAGATACACTTGTTTTAACAGCTAGACCTCATCAGCGTGTCGGTGGTAGAACGCTCGCCAACCACGGGATCCCTGGCCAACGTATTCATACACCCCGCTGACCCTATAAATAAGGTCTGTACACGGTGGGGCGAAGGCTCAGTATGACGTTTGCAAACTCACCCCACTGCTACTGAAACTGCTGAGCTCTCAAGGTTGGAGCCATCTATTCCATACGGAACGCCAGGGAATAAAAATTAATAATAATAAAAACCGTCTACGGACTCCGTCTAGGAAACAACAATCGGAAAAGCCTACCGCAAAACCTTGCATCAGATCGACAACCTGGGCAGCGATGATTCGAAATGTTCATGAAGACCGCTCATCCTCCCGTGGGAGATGGACGAAGTAAAGTAAGTAAGTAAGATTGGTGAAAGGAGGATTAACGGTTCCTGTATCTGTTCTGTTGAGAATTTATCAAAATACGGTGTGTTGAAGAGATAAATTGGAGGTGACTACGCAGAAGTTTGTTTATACAGCTGACCTTTTACTCATTGGGGGTTTAGTCATTTAACTGCTAACCATTGTTTGACGGGTTGTAATTCCTCCACACCTGGCAAGATTTGGTCATGTAGGTATGTGTGTGTGTGTGTGAGTATGGATAAGCTCTGACACTGCAATAGATGTGCAACTCTGGTTAGCAATAAACGGTGTGTAGATGCAACTGATTAGTTGGCTGGTTGGTTGGTTGTTGAGTGGTAAACATTTATAGTTATTCACACTCGACTTAAGTAATGTTTATATTTAGGTAGGTGTTATTTCTAATGTTACTTCTAAGCATTCCTTCATTTTTAATATGCCTTTGTGATTTCTTTTTCTTTCTTGTTAAGTTTGAGGTGAAAGTTGGCACCCTAAGCGATAAAATTGACGAGTCAGAATCACGTAAGCGTCAATTGCAGGAGACAGTGGATAGCTTAAATGCGGAGTTGGCGAAACTACGCGCTAATGAACAATTGATCACCGGATCTGGTCAACAAAATGAACAAATAATAGCTGATCAGTCAGCGTTACGAACAAAATTAGATGAAGAGTTTAGACGATAATCAGAGTATTATGCTGCTCAGGTGAAATCTCTACGTGATGAATTAGACGAAAAACAGAAGAAGTTGGAAGAATATAAAGAGTAAGTTGTCTGTTTCTTGATAGGTGTGTTGTGGAGATGATGATGTGGTCCACTGACTTGAACTAGTCGAATTTCAGCCCATAGTCCCTCATCTCTATTTCCACCTGTCTAATTGTGAGTGGTAATTTGAGGCCTTTCTTCACCGAGTCACCGGATTGGTGTTAGCTCATACAACAGCCTATCTGAGTGAAAGTTTGTTCAAATCAGCAGCCAGCATGTATACTGTGAGAGCATGTCAGTTGAAATCTCTTAGCACGGTAGGTTGCCTTATTTTCTGTCAGCCAGTGAACAACTGTATGTGCACGTACAAGATATTGAATGTCCACGTGTTGTATCATCGTCGTTATGAACTCGGTAGTTTGATGTTATTGGGTTTACTTTGCTTCGATAATGACCATGATAATGTTCATATATCCGAGTGAATATTTTTCTTATTGTTTGAAAGTGTACAGAAAGGTTCAGTTGAGTCTGGTTGGTTTCTCTGAGAAGAGTTAGACACATGAGATGATTACAACCAAATATGCGAATGTCTTTGGCGTTTTGTATGCATAATTATTTAGTTAGAGCATTATGCACACTATCGCCTGGACAACATCGTTTTTAACTAAAGACAGCACGATTGTGAATGTAGATTGTGTTGGGGAAGCAGGAGAGAGTTTCCAATACTGTGTCAACCTACTGCTGCTCAACACATATATCGTAGTAGGTAGTCGAGGAAAGACTAAGGTGTGGTTGTGGGGAGCAATAAAGAATAACTGGTAAGATGGAAGATTTAACAAATTGTAAAAGTTGAGGTTCAGTAGTTCCTCCTCATTTCTATTTTTACTCTCATTTTTACATTCACACTGAAGCTCATACTTTCAAATTCCAATGTGAGAAATCACAAGAAGAGGTGAAACAGTTAGGTGAAGAATTGGCGACAAAGACTAAACGACTAGACACATTCGAGAGGACAGCTGAGAAACGTGAACAGGCTAAACAAGATCTACGTGGTCTGGAAGAGACAGTCATCAAAGAATTACAAACACTACACAATTTACGACGATTATTCATCGAAGATCTGAATAGTCGAGTTAAAAAGGTTTGTGATGTGTGAGAAATGACAATGTCTGTCGGTATGTCTTTCTTGAGTGATATTGTGAATGTGTTTTGATACGTTGTAAATGTGGCATGTTTTCTCCCTCTTCTGAATCACACCAGAGTGGCTGTGTATGGATGGACTCAGTTGGGATGGATATTTTGTAGGATTGAAGAGGACGAGGATGTGAACAATAGATTTTCAGCTATCGTTGAAGTATAATTAGCTGATGCAACTCAACTGGTAGACCCTAATTTGTTCATGAGGAAGGCAGCTTCTTTTGTGAAGCAGCTCGTCAACTGTGGTAGGTTAATGATACCTCTCTGGCTGTCAGAATGTTTAGTAGGTTATTCCTTAGAATCTAGACGTTGAGAGCACAATTATAGGTGTGCTGTTTCAGCCACTGTTGATTTCCAAATGGTTGGAGGCGGTAAGCGAGAGAAGCACTTGACGTAGGTTTGGTGCTTGTCGCCATTCATCAGCAAGGCGTATCCGCAGTCTTGAAGGAACTCATATTCCCTGTGAGATTGTAACCTGACGCCGCAGTGGCTATTCCTGCTACCGACTGACCTCCTTTAGGACTGTGATGGATGGATGGTTTGGTTGGAGAGTCGATAGCAACTAATTGCATATTAGACAAGTTTACTGCAAATATCACACAGTGATTGCAGTGTTATTAACTGGATGACGTTTTGAGCACAAGTCACTATAGCCATATCAGTTAAGTCACACACCGTGACTATCAGTGGCAATAATATGTGCTCGAAACATCATTCAATTATTGATCAATACTGCATCATCACGGTGTGATATTTGAAATAGACCTATTTATTGTTGAATTACATTCTACCACGGTGTTCAAGTTCTGCACTTACATACACCAGTAACTAGTGTCACGCGTCCAGTCCTTGGTTTGTTGCAGACTTCTGTCTGTCTGTCTGGATTCAACATAGAACTTGGCACCGAAGTGCAGCAGTTCGAGTTTCCACGTTCCAAATAGCACACAGAGGTAGACAAGAAGATGAGTGAAGAGAATCAATAGAGTTTGACAAGTATAAGAGTGAAACAGAATGGGTAATGGTAGAAAGAAATATGAAAGATTACAGAGACTGAATACATCTGCGCTGGCCATTGACAACGATTTTGAGCCATGTCACCTATTGTCTCCAGCCATTGATTCCTAGAGTCCCGAGGGCCCCAACCCGGAAGTCTGCATCTCCCTACCTGACTCAGTTTAACTGTCAAGGATTTCATGGATTGATGAGGCCATGTTTTTGTTTGGCCACCACTTCTTTTCCAACCTGCACCTATATCAGCTAGTAATGCCCGTCGGGGGAGGCGATGGTTAGGCATGCGCACCACGTGACCTAGCAAACTCAATCTATGTAACTTTATAACCTCGTCGATTGATTTTCCCTCTATACCCAACACTACGCCTAACGTCAACATTACTTATCTTGTGAAACCACCTAACGTGAGACAGAGATCGCAGACATCTATGATCGAAAGCAGTCAACCTTTTCATGTCTTCAACGCGTATTGGCCATGTTTCAGAGCCATAGAGAAGGACGGAGCGAACTGATGAGCAGTACACACGTCCCTTGGTTGATAACCGGGTGTCACGCCTACGCCAGAGATGCTAGGACTACCAAATACAAAAACTCCACAATACCATATCTGGCACAGCTGTTTTTTTCTTTTTTTCTTAATTTTTAATATTTATTTATTTTATTTATTTATAACTTACTTATTTTATTTTTATTTATTTTTGATTTTTAAAAATCTTATATAATTTATGAGGTAATTAGATGCAATATACTGTAATGCACGCTGAAAATTCCATACCTGTACCACAAATACTGTTTGGAATAAAGCTGTTATTATTATTATTATTATTATTATTATTATATTATTATTATTATTATGGTGTAAGTCAGCGAAAGCAGCTCGAGCTTTTCGGATCCGTGCTGAGATTTCATCGCCAGTCAGTCCGTTGGTGCCAATACAACTTCCCAAATAGATGAAGTGGTCAACATGTTCTATCACTTCACTCCCTATCACTAAGCTAGGAGTTGACGTAGTCCAGTCCAGTCCAGTCTTACATTTTGTAGGGGCGAATCTCATGCCAAACATACGAAGATTGCTGCTCAAGGTGTTCAGAAGACTCTTCTGCATTTTTTCAGCATCCTCCCCTAACAGAACTATGTCATCTGCATATTCTAGGTCCATAAGACTATTCCCTGGTAACAAGTCGATTCCTAAGTCATTATGTTCAGTTAAGGATACTTCCATCAGCATATCTATGATGAAGTTAAACAGAAATGGGGAGAGTGGACATCCCTGTCGGACACCACTGGTTGTTACTAATTCAGATGACAATTCCCCATAAGCCCTTACACGACTACGTGAGTTTGAATAGAGTGCCTTGATTAGTGCAATGTACTTTCTTGGCACTCCCTTCACAGTCAGACATTGCCATAGTACCTTTCGATCCACGGAGTCGAAGGTCGCCTTCAAGTCAAGAAATATGACAATTGTTGGACACCGAAAAGTGTGTCTATGTTCTAGAATCTGTCGAAGAGTGAAGATATGATCTATGCACCCTCTACCTGGTCTAAAGCCTGCTTGATTTTCCCTCGTCTGTTCCTCCCGAGTTCTGCTTAGTCTATGCATGATTACTGAGCCTAGGATTTTAGAGACTATGTTCGTTAGGCTGATCCCCCTATGATTATCACACGAGGACTTGTTAACCTTCTTGAGTATCGGTATAATGAGTGACTTACCCCAGTATGATGGCACTGTCTCTGATTCCCAGACTTTGCCTGGTACCTCAGTTAATCTACAAACTAGTATGTCACCCTCATATTTAAACACCTTCGGAATAATTCCGTCGGGTCCTGCCGCTTTGCCTCGTTTCAAATTACCGATAGCTTTTGTGACCTCACTTACAGACGGCGGACCAGCGTCTATATCCCATTCGGGTGTGTGCTGGATGTCGGGGAGGTTCAGATAGGCTGTTGTATGAGCTAACACCAATCCGGTGACTCGGTGAAGAAAGGCCTCAAATTACCACTCACAACTAGACAGGTGGAAATAGAGATGAGGGACTATGGGCTGAAATTCGACTAGTTCAAGTCAGTGGACCACATCATCATCTCCACAACACACCTATCAAGAAACAGACAACTTACTCTTTATATTCTTCCAACTTCTTCTGTTTTTCGTTGAATTCATCACGTAGAGATTTCACCTGAGCAGCATAATACTCTGATTATCGTCTAAACTCTTCATCTAGCTTTGCTTGTAACGCTGACTGATCAGCTATTATTTGTTCACTTTCCTGATCAGATCCGGTGATCAATTGTTCATTAGCGCGTAGTTTCGCCAACTCCGCATTGAAGCTATCCACTTTCTCCTGCAATTGACGCTTACGTGATTCTGACTCGTCAATTTTATCGCTTAGGGTGCCAACTTTCACCTCAAACTTAACAAGAAAGAAAAAGAAATCACAAAGGCATATTAAAAATGAAGGAATGCTTGGAAGTAACATTAGAAATAACACCTACCTAAATATAAACATTACTTGAGTCGAGTGTGAATAACTATAAATCTTTACCACTCAACAACCAACCAACCAGCCAACTAATCAGTTGCATCTACACACCGTTTATTGCTAACCAGAGTTGCACATCTACTGCAGTGTCAGAGCTTATCCATACTCACACACACACACACACACACCTAAATGATCAAATCTTGCCAGCTGTTGAGAAATTACAACCCGTCAAACAATGGTTAGCAGTTAAATAACTAAACCCCCAATGAGTAATAGGTCAGCTGTATAAACAAACTTCTGCATAGTCACCTTCAATTCAACTCCTCAACACACCGTATTTTGATAAATTCTCAACAGAACAGACACACGAACTGTTAATCCTCCTTTTATCAATCTTAGTTACTTACTTCACTTCGTCCATCTCCCACGGGAGAATGAGCGGTCTTCATGAACATTACGAATCATCGCTGCCCAGGGTGTCGTTCTGATGCCAGGTGTTGCGGTAGGCTCTTCCGATTGTTTTTTCTTAGACGGAGTCCGTAGACGGTTTTTATTATTATTAATTTTTATTCCCTGGCGCTCCGTATGGAATAGATGGCTCCAACCTTGAGAGCTCAGCAGTTTCAGTAGCAGTGGGGTGAGTTTGCAAACGTCATACTGGGCCTTCGCCCCACCGTGTACAGACCTTATTTATAGGGTCAGCGGGGTGTATGAATACGTTGGCCAGGGATCCCGTGGTTGGCGAGCGTTCTACCACCGACACGCTGATGAGGTCTAGCTGTTAAAACAAGTGTATCTTACGAGGATTTGATTTGATTGTTTGGTTACGTGATTTCATCATGAGATGACATTGCTTAAAGAAGTACTGGACAGCTGTTTCTTTCTGTAGTTTGCAACTCTCCACCAGAACGCACCTACCACAGTGGTTGGAACGTAGGACTCACCGGTTAGAAGACGGCGAGCTAGCTGGTAGACAGTTAAGATCGCCACTGGGTCCGGATCCGATGGTCTGTCCGTGAAGAATTCCAACTTCTGCCCATTCAGTATATCATGCGACCACCAGTCTTCATACTCGACCTGCTGTACTCCACGCTGGTCATGACTTCCCACTAGAATCCAGGTAACTATTACTGCCTATCTGAATAAGGCTGGTTGCTGGTCAGCATCAGATTGACACCCGAGTGTTGGTTTGCAGGGATTTCATTGGATTCAGGATGATGGCATCAGGTAGCTAGAAAGTATTGGAAAACTTGTGAAGATTCCTAATCTCGGCCTACTGTGCATTCCCTTAATAAGTAAGGCGGTCGATGAACTAGTGCAGTTAGCCACTTCACCCTGCATATATAATACACTTGCAAACCGAGTTAGACTAGTTGTTAGAGTGAAAATCACATATTTTAAGGAACTATTTCATTTCTCTGAGCTAAATGTGTTTCATTTGCAAAGCTCCGATTGTCTCCTTCATCTAGACATCCGTTGTCATCTTCACAACACTTCAAATTCTCGATTTAGTGAGAGTATTAGTAGGTTTCTTCATGAGTGGTAGAACTGATGATGCAATTACCTAATAGTAATGATGGTTTGCTTTATTCCAAAGTAGTGCTTGTCATACAGTGTGAAGATGTCAGCATTTTGTACAATAATTGCGTCTAATTTACTTAACGGCGGATGTACAGGGTAAACTCGGCCAGGATTATTGATAAAACCAACAACTTTCGGCAATGTCAGATGAAAATTATGATAAGAACAAGGATAGTATTAGTATTGCTGACACAAAATTATAAGATAATGGGAATAGTGAGTGTCATCATGAAATTACAAATATGCGAGAATGACTGTTCCATTTTTAAAACATGCCAGTAGCACAATAATTCGTAAGTTTCACGTGTTTAAGACTATCTTTATGAAGTAGAACGCAGTTGGGTGGGTGAAACAAATAGGCTATCTATTGTTGCGTTATTGAGCACTTGGTTGTGCGATCGAAGTATATAATCTCTTATAATATAATGACCTCTAGACAGACCTACCAGATAAGATGAAAGGCGGTGAGAGTTGTGAATAGAGCGAGGGGGGAAATGGAGTGTTGAGAGACAGAAAATATGTTTGGACTTCGACGGCTTATCAGGTGATTTCCAGTTTCTGTCGACTATGACAGTAGTGAGCTGAGTCAGTGGCACACAACTTACCCTGCTAACAACGTTTAATACCCTGCGTAATAGGACATACTCGTTTTTGAGTAGGTAGGTAGTCCAGTAAAGACTAAGGTATGGGTTGTGAGGAGCAATGAAGAGTAATTGGTAAGATGGAGAAGCTAATAAACTGTGAAAGTTGACGTTGAGTAATTCCAGATTGCTGTAACTTCTCAATGTAGAAGGTGGTTAGACTGAGTTTCTTAGAAGTCGACCAGATATGGGGCGATGTAGAAAGGCGAGGATATAGAACTGTAGGAGGGTATTTTATGCTTGTGGTACTATCTATATCACTGACCTATAAGCCGGAAACATGGTGTGTAGTAATGAGTTTGTTGAGATGAGTTTAATTGCTGAAGGTGGAATTGACTGTCTGATATTTGGAGTGGTTTATTTGACGTTAGAGCATTAAGCTTAGACTAGACGGCTAGCTGATGTTAGATAGAAAGCTGTTCAGTTTGGAACAGTTAGTTACGGAAGCAGTTGGCAACAGGACAGTGAGGCCAGATCGAAATCCTGTAGACAACAAATTATTTTTTTATTTATTTTATTTTTGATTTACAGCTTGATTCCACACTGTATTTTCGGTACAAGTATGGAATTTTCAGCATGGATATCGGTAGCCCAAATTTTGCAGGCCGACCATAGGTATCAGGTGTGCGTCGGTGCGGGCTCGAACCCCGGACCATGTGCATGTCCTAACCACTGTGCCACCGACGCACAGCCTATAAACTATCGGGAACGAAGGAGTATTCGACAACCATTCCATCCTAGGTTAGAATCCTTCGGTTATACATGCCGACAATTCTGTTCGGAGATCGAAATCATTGTCTTAAAGTTACGAATCTAATTGGTTGGACATTAACCTAGTATGGAATCCAGTTTTCCATGAGTTCTTAATTCTACGAGCTTAGGAAAGAGAGCTACGGTCAGCCTAAATCATCGATGAGTATATGTTCTCACGGTCCTTCATTCCGTCGGTTGACGCTGCCAGAAAGTCCAACCCCTTGAGTCAATCACAAGTGTGCAACCAACCGGTGTTGCTGAACAGATATTTGATTGAATCACCAGACTCACGAATACATATCAGATTTACCAGATAATAACAGAATAAGCCACATGATGAACACAATTACTTATCAATCAAGTGTTCGTTTGCAGGAATTTGATTGGCTACAAGATCGGTCACCAAGTGATATCAGTTTGAGAACCTCTGGAAACCAGTAGTGAATTACTGGATGTCTATTTCAGCCTAGACTCAACAAGTTGTAACACTGGTTGGTGGTTACACTAAATGTGTATGACGAATTGGTAGAAGTTGGAGCTCATGGACCAGTGGGTCAGGTTCAAATGGTTGAATGGTCTGGGAGCTTGGCTTGTTGTACACGGTTGATCCTGAGTGAGAACCATGATTATCGCGTGCTGATGAAGAATCCCAGACAAGTGCGAAACAACTACCTCGTATTTCTATGTGGTTTTCGAATAGTCCTCCTACTGTTTTCAGCCTATGATCAATCCTGTAAATATCACATCAACTCAATAATCAGTACAAATACCAGTAATTGTTCAGCAAAGAGTGTCTTTTCGTTGGCGAATTCATTTTCATAGCTGTTCAATCGTAAATATACATAAATGGTTGTTTTGTATGTGTGTGCGTGTACATTAAATTTGTCAAACGAAAATACAATTAGTAAGTTCAGATGAATTGGATGTTGATATAAGAGGGTAGTGACAAAAGTGATGAGTTGTCATAAACGATTGTTAAAGAAGAGTTACGTAATAACAACATGAATAGTTTGATGAAAGAGTTGCGCTCAGAGTGTACATGGAAACAAAACAACATTCGGAATGATGCAAGAGTTTTAAGTAGTTAGAAAAATAAGCCTACAAGCAAAAGTTAAGTCGAAGCAGCGGAGTTGTTACTATGAAAGTAGAAATGGTTGAATAATTTTCTTTTGTATGCATACTTCTGGTTCTTCCAACTGAATGGTTAGGGCTACTGCAATGCAAAGAAGATGGAAACGCATTGCCTTTGGTAGGTTGTTCTTCACTTTGTAGGTTACTTGGAAGCAGGAGGCGTTTGTTGACATGGAATAACGAATGGTGACGAGATGTCCGATTATTGAGTGTAACGTATTTTGAAAAAGGCAATCCACAACGAAAAAGTCAACAGGCATTCCAAGTGAATACAAAAGTAAGACAAGGCTTCTTACCTGCTTTTGATCACCGATGATATTCTTAATTGTAGTGGAATTGATTATGCGTCAGACTGGGAGAAGTGAGGAGTCGGGAATACGCTGGACCATCGATAAGAAGACTCTAGAAGATTTAGATTTCACGCGCCTGAGTTACAGGTGTATACGGTCACACGAACTCGAAGACTAACAGGCGAAAACTAACGAAATGGCTGATTTGGCTGGCAGCGAATGGAGGATTGCAGGTGAACACGAAGAAGATGGAAATGATGAGGATACCACACTGACCAACAACACACAACAACTCGCACAAATCACCATCAACGGGAGAAACTTGAAAGAGGTTACTTCCTTGACTTATCTAGGCCGCCACAATAGGAAAAGCGAAATACGCCTTCATCAATGTGAAACCGGTTTGGAAATCTTCTGCATTCTGCCTCAGTATAAACTAAAACATACGGGTTTTCAACACAAATGTTATGCGAGTCAGTCAGTGATTTCTTCTATATGGGTGGGAAATGTGTATTGCGCGTCACGAAGATCATCTCCAACAACCAGCTGCAAACTTTTATCAGCAACTCCTACCTTCGCCGGTTCCATATTAAAGATC